TTCCTTGCGCTGGAATGACGTGCCATGCACGTCGAGAATTTTCTCGTCTCAAAATTGTAACATTTTCTTCAAGTATATGTAAGTAAAGCAAAATAGGCAAAACAAACAATAAATTTATCACTACTCGATAATTTTTATCCAGTTGATATCATACGAGTTCAAAAAGAAAGCGACGAATTATTGTACACGGTTCGGTCACTCGTTATGGTCCGCAATCAGTTGCCAACGCAAGTTGATCTCGTTTCTCCCGTGCGCGATTCGCGCGAAATTCAAAATGAAGGAAAATGTTGAGAGTCGCATCTCAGGCGTATCGAGAAATCATCACACGTAATTAATTATGTTAGAAATATCAGTCGATAATTTCCGCCTGTAGAGATGGTGTAAAATTACGGACGATGAGCGAGAGAGAAAGAAAGAGAAAGAAAGCAAAGTCTATAAATTATATCGAGTAAAAATCTAGTAAAAAAATTAGATTATTGCGCGTGCCGTTCGTTTATAGTTATAAGTCATCATTTGTTTAATTTTCTTTTGTACTGTTTCATGTGAAATATCAACCAGTGTCGTCTTAAACTGACTCCAAATCATAAATTAAAAGGTAAAAACTCAACAAATTGAGTCCCTGATAACGCAGCGATATACGAGTACGCGGATGATCTAACAGATTGACAAAATCGGTGAAATCGATTGAATCGCGAAAGTGGGGGCAAGCAACCGCGCGTCGCGGGTGAGCTATTTAGAATCCGAGGCGTTCTAAATTCGAATATTATCCGACTATTATTCGACGACGTTCGATCGACAATGCAATCCGATAGATGCGTTTTAATACAATAGATTATTATATAGCGAGCATGCAGTAACTACGCGCAAAATTCGTGCTAGATCGATGACCCAAATGTCAGAGGTGCCCTGGACTCGCACGAAACGAATCGCGAGAATCGAACTCCCACTCGAGAGAGCGAGCGAGCCGCTTCCCTCCGTGGGCTACAGGGTGAGAGGGTCGAAATTATCATGGTGAATCGCGACTGTGAACTGCGAAAAATTTTGTCAATTTTATCGGCGAGAGACAAAGAGAGAGGCGTGAGAAAAGGTGAAGAACACTCCTAAAACACGCGTTGATCCCATCGAAAGATCGAAAAGGGATCATCTTTCGTCGAGAGCATCGAAAACGAGTGCTCGGAGTCGTGGGATCCACGTGGCCGTTTCCTCGAACCAGCCTCGAGCAAACATCACCAAAGATATCGCCCTAACCTTCTCAACCTGTTCTCACAATCTTCCCGATCCCTAATGGACGAGTTGGTGGCTCTGTTGTGTCTCCAGGTTGTGCGCCTGTTAGGCCCTTAGGTAAGATTCGACTCTGGCCCCTGCTGCTCTATCTCAGGTAGACGACGACCCGGCAGTTACTACAATACAGAGAGTCCTTCCCTCGACGCAGCAACGTGCTTCCTTTTCGAATAATTTGTCGCGATCCAAGCATCGCAGAGTCGAAAGAAAGATTTTCGCGGGAAAGACCGATCAGATTGGATTAAATTAAATTAGATTCCGAAACGAGTCGTAAAACAACGGCGAGGCTGCGGTTTCGCGAGGCTGCTCGAAAACGGAACGAAGCGCGCTGCACTTTGCTGCAGGTTTACAAATAGGTGGATCAATTCCAGGTTTATCGTGTGCGGCAACGGCGATTGGTCGACTCTCATGGTCGTGTGTGTCGGCGTCGTACACGTAAAACGCGCGCGGATTGCACACACGCGTAACCCTCTTCCCCTCCCCCTTCCCGCCCCGCGTGTACACGCGTCGTATATAAACGTACATCATATACATAATGCACATGGATTCTATATTCCGGCTGTGTACCGCCATAATAATTCAGTCTCGAACGTCGCTCTCTCCGCAGTGACCGCAACCTGCAGAGCCGACGAAACACGAGCAAATCAACTGTCGCGGCTATTTTCTGCCTAGTTACGTAAATTAATACTAGAAACGATATTGAAATTATCGTTTCATGCGTGAGATATGCCGCTCCGATCGTCGATTCGACGTCTCGATGCCTCGATGCGGGGTCGATGGACCGGGAAAAAGTACGAGTACCAGTTAGAAATTTGATTATCCCGATCGTGCGTGCGGTTCGATCCCTGACTTTTCTTCTTTCTTTTCTTTTTTCTTCTGTTTTTCTGTTCTTTCACGGCTAAGAAACTTTGTACACGCCTCGAAGATGAAGTACACGCGTGGCGATGTTTGTCGTTCGCCGAGCTATTTCGAACATTGTCAACCGAAATCTTTCCGTCTCTTAAAACCAAACGGTCGAAAACGGCTACCACCTACGACCCTGTCAGTTTGATAAATGCCGCTCTGTCCTTGCTTATTATAGAACCGAAAGTTGGAAATAAGAAACGAAGCAAAGGGGCAGAAAGGCTAGCGCACTCTCGAGAACCGAGTCAATTTTACGAGCCGATTCGTTCGCAAAGAAAGAAGAAAAAAATATACGATAACGACAATTGAACGATCAATCGAACAAAACGTTATGCGCCAGTTTGAACGATTTTCAGACACAATACGAGGCGTGATGTAGTTATGAGGCCTCGTTATGTCAGTGTTAAACACAACGAGTCGCATTTGTCAGCAGATAACGCTACTTTTCCGAGCGATATGTCCGAACGGGATTAGCGAATCCATCCACGAACGCGTCGTTAATCTTCTCAAGGTATTAAAAACGATAGATTTGCGACGTGCAATTGAACGTCGTGACGAGTACACTTCTCGCTACCATGCTACCGACCACTGCCGGTTGCATTTGCACTCTGACGCGTAAGAACCTGGCAAATATAACATGATACCGCCAACAGTGCGTAACTGTACCAGCGACGATGAAAAATTGTCGATAACTTCGACAGTGTGATGTTATTTTTCAAAGCGTGAAATATCTTCTTTGGCAGTCGAGAGAGAGAGAGAGAGAGAGAGTTTAACTATTTTCTTTCAAGGATGATCACGATGAAAGTTGTCAAGATTCGAACGAACGTGTGAAAAGCATTGAAAAATTTCTTTTCACGACCACTGCGACCACAGTTCTCGAAGATTGAGATTTTCAATCGAGTTTTACAACGAGTTTTCATACCTTGTACAATTCTTTTTTTTCACCACGTTATTGGATCGGACGACGAAATGTCGGAGTTTCTTGAACATTTTAAGCCTGATACTCAACGTTCGATAAAATGGCGAAACAAGATTGTGGAACAACAAGCTTCGGAGTTGTAATTGTCTCGGAAAGGAGAGACTTTCAACGTGGCACGGAGACGAGAGGAAAGAAAAAGATGGTTTGCTCGGTGAGACGGTGGTATCGCGGAAAACCGAAACTCGATGGTAGTCGGCGTGCAATCGCGATTACAAATTCGCCCCGAGGATGAGAGCAATCTGAGGGAGAGGAGCCTGGACGGTTCAAAGCGACGCATCGCCATCCGCTTCGCCAGCCGTATCGCGCACGATGGAAAACTCTGATGGCAAACACCGGCAAGGCGCAAAGTGCGCCGACAAAGGCGTCTTATCGTGGCTGCTAATTTATATTTCAAAAGGTTACTGGTGCCATCGAAAGAGCGTAGAAACCACGTCGACTAGAAGAAACTGCTGTTCCCGGCGAATTCCTACGCGCCGAAAGATTTATCAATTGCACCGCGTCTCTCTCTTTCTCTCTCTTTCCCTTTGACCCCGACAACGCGATTTTCGAAAGCTACAGAAAGCGACTCGTCGCAAAGGAATTCGTTATAATTTCCTAATTGAATCGATCGGCAAAAACGTAGGCGATGAAGGAGGTGGCCAGGACGCGGCGCGTCGGTCAAAGGCAAAGGGGATAGGTCGGAGAGACAGGCGGATTTCGTTAGCGGAGTTTCACGGAATCCGCGATGATGAGTCATGGATGGAAACCGGTCTTGGGATGACGAACGTTCGTCACCGGAGCGCGCGGCGATCCCCACGTTAATTGCTTCGATCCTCGCAGCCCGATCGATTGACTTTCGGAACCGTTAGCACGTTGCCAAACATTTCACACGTCGTTCGCCAGATATTTCGTTTATTTCGTTTTTGCCATTTCCATTTCGTTGTCGGTACGCTCCGTGGCCAGCCGATTTTCCACTCGTGAAGTGTGTCTTGCGCTTTTTAATAATAGTGCAAAAATTATAGTTATCGAGAAAAGTGTCCAGAGTTTAAGACGCGTTCTTTTTTGATAATAACCGTTCGAAAAGTCGAGGTCGCGCAGTCTGGTCGACTGTGTGTAAAAATTGTAATTAGACGTAACGAGTCTCAATCGAAGCGGAGAATTCTTCAGGTTACTCGCAGCAACGCGTGCATGCGTTCCTATTGTCTGTCTTGATCGACGCGCAAATTTTTTCCAAGCACCAGACTCAACGTTCACCGCACGACGCGAACACTCGAAATTAGCTCCGTTGGAACTTGGACGGGCGTCGATCAATTCTCGCAAAGATGACGACACGAATAGCGCACGAACGACTACTGGGCGAGAAAGGTTCGAGAGATCGCCTCTCGGAATATTTCTTCCACGGCGTTGTTCAATTTCTCATTGAGGATATCACGCGTCATCAACGAGCTTAAAAATATTATCTCTTCGATCTTGCACAGGATTTCCGTGCAACGTCTTGCGCAATTCCCGCGAATCGTCGTAAATCATGCCGCGGCGGGATTCAGCGTGGGCGGCTGTGAAACGCGCTGCGAGACGGCCACGTTTCGGCCTGCAATTCACCCGATAATCGCGGGAGAGCATTCGAAAACAATTGTTCGAGCAACAGATTTCCGATTTCAGAGATTTTAACGAACGTTCAAAGCGTGCGAGAGTGTGGTCGTTTGGTTAGCTCTCGCGTCGCGCAGCTAAAAAGCTCTCTGCAGCTAAAATTGAAAAAACGCGAGAACACGCAATTTGTGTAGGAGAGTAACGACGAGTTCGGCTCTCGTCGCTCGACGAGAGGAAAAGATAGTAGTAGTACAAAAGGAAACGGACTCACTCATTGTGCACACGTAATCTGGCATTTCGCGTGCGGAACGCGCGAACAGCCGCCTCTTAAAACTGTGTGTTTCGTGTGTGGCCGAAAAATCTGCTTCTCGAAATAGACTTACCTGAAACAACAAAGAGAAAGGGAAACTGGTTAGTAAGCCCGATTCGAAATTAATTCCGGAACACACTCTACGGGCAAACGTAGTTGATTAATTTCTAACATGGGACTAATTGTCCCATTTTTTTGAAACGCCCTCTTTCTCGTGCGCTTGTGTGTGTATGTGTGTGTGTGTTTGCTCGTGCTGCCTCGCGCCGTTGTTCGTCGTAAATTTCATTGTTCGAGCGACGCGCGACGCGACTGAGGAGAAGCCGTCGCGAAGTAATTCGAAGGCAAATAGTCGAAGGCAAAAGGAATCGCTAATTAAATTGGCTCTTCCATTCTGCTCGAACGAGTCGCAGCCGCTTCTCGAGAGGAGGAAGGAAGACGAGGCAAAAGACAGGGCGGAGAAAGAGACGTGATTATTTTCGATTCTCGGGAAATCAAGCTCTCTCTCTCTCTCTATCTCTCTCTGCACGTTGGCGTGCAGCCAGGCGTAGGCGATTGTAAGAAATAACGAAAAGGCGTGTACGTTTCGCTTTCTTTCATTGACTCTCCTGCCACTCTACGAGAGAGTGCTCATTCTCGCGCAACATTTCAGAACGGATAGCTTTTCCGTCCTATACCGATGCAAATTTCTCCCCTACTCCCGTTCTGAGACGCGACTCGAACACATCTACGATAGGTTTCGGTTGGTTCGTGTCAGTCGTGTCAGATGGATTATCCGATCGCTACGGTTGCGCAATTATTTGTGAAACTTTTACAAAGACAGTTCCAACGAACAATGCATATTTCTCACGTGCGACCGTCGTTTCAAAGCTATCCCGCCGAAAAAAATCGACGATTGATCGTCGTCCTAGTTGCGAGCGAGTTGGCGAAGGAACGTATCAGTCGCGCAGACAGTTTTATCCCAGGGGAACGGTAATGGCGCGCAGGAGAAACGAAACGGGAAATGAGAAATTAAAAAGAAAAGGAAAAGAAAAGAAGAAAAGAAAAGAAAAGAAAGAAGCGTTAGACCGTGCCGTGAATCGTATCGGAGTTTACCATCGATCCGCGGATACTGATCGTGTTATCTAATAATGGAAAAAGCGAGTACCTGCGATGGAGTAACGACGAGAGGACAATTAGACGAGACTGCAGTTAACGCGACAACGAGCTCGTTCGGAATTAAATGACACGCTAATTTCCCAATTTCCCAAAGAGACGGACATTGAAAATAATTATTCTATATCCTGCTTTGGAACGCGTGGAGATCCAGTAAAGGGGCGACAAATATCGCAGCTTTCACTGACTGACTCCATAGTGATCAATAAAAATATAGTTATTGGGTAATGTATAAATAAAATAGTTAATGAGTAATATATAGTAAAAGTAGTTGATATAGCTAATAAACACGAGAGTGCGCAAAATTATAACGAAATTGAGAGGCCCAGGAGGCTATTGCGCAATGGTCCTGTCTGCAAAATCTCGGACTTGGTGGAAAAAACCAAAGACTCGTCGATATATCGAATTATATACTGGCGACACGGCCAGTCGAATCTGTGCGACAGTTGTTTCTCTAAAACTGACTGATTCTCTTAGGCAGCACGGTACGAGAGCGATTGGACCGATTGACTCTATTAGACTGACTCTCTTGACTGCTCTGCACGACTGGGCCAAGTCTCCTTTGCGACTGTAGTCATAGAAAAAAAAAAAAAAAAATGCCACTTTTCTGTGTCGCTTTCATCACGCTATTAGCGTGTTTTCTACACCAGAAAGGAGGAGCAAGTTGCTGTTGATCCGGTGACGTTAGGAATTTCGACACAGACTGGTTCCTCTTTCCGAAAGCAAACTGAAACAAGCAAACTGAAAACGCGCGAAGAAGAAGTCTCCGAATTATTCTTCGACCCCAAATTTTATCTCCGAGTTCAACTCTGACGACGACTTTAGGTCGTGAGCGAGCGTGCAAATTTTCCATCGGCGATCGGCGAGCCACGCGTTTGGTACGTGGTCTACGTGTCCCTAGAACGTGTCTGCGTCAATCGTCAATCGGGGATGAAGCGTGGCAATGCAGATTGGCAACGCAGATTGCGCAAGCACGACAAACAGTGTGGCAAAAATACAGACGGCCGCTATATCGATCGATGCGTAATCGATGAATCTAATAATGGCCCGGGCGCGATTATTCAAGAATCGGCGTGCAGGGGCGGGGATCGCGAGATCGAACCGCCTGCAATCCGCTCGGAGAAGATATTTCGCCGGTAGCTGCTGCGAGTTAGGTCGGTTGCCGAACTGTACACACGCTCGACGCGCGGCGCCTCGCGATGGTAGGCGGTGGTAGGCTACGAGAGCGAGGCGTGGGTCTGCTCTATCTGCGATTTAAATATTTAACTCTGCTTAAACGTCAGCGAGCCGCTGCTGGCCGTTATTCGCGCGAGCAATAATTCCAATTCGCGGGTAAACTCGCTTGGGAAAATCGAGCGATCGCGTGCAACCATCCTCTCTCCTCCCACCCTCATGGGCTGGCTTTCCATCCGCTCGTGGCTGCTGCTACTACTGCTGATGATGGTGGTGGTGGTGCGCGTTTGCGAAAATTTCATTCGAACCTCGGTACTATTTTGCCCGAGTATTTCGAACGTTTGTTCCGAATAAAGTAATAAAGGGGAAAAGAAGAAAAAGAGCGGGAAATGCTGATTATTTGCATTTATACGAGTAGCGGTAATGGTTACATCGGCGCGTTCTCTGTTTCAACGAAACAGCGAAATTCGCGGAAGCTTTTTTTTCGAAATAACTGAATGGAAAAACGCGTGTTTGAAAATTAAAATTTTTCCTTTTTTTTTTTTTGCAACGTTCCGTTCCCGGAACGGTTGCCGAGATTCAGCTCGGTGGTAATTCTACGTTGAAAAGAAAACGCAGAGGTTATCTAACGTTCCAACGGAAGAAGGCTAGCGATCGTCAGCGGTGTAATATAATTCATCTGCCGACAATTAAACTTAGAGATTAAATGGATTGTTCCCCTTGAGGGATGAATTATACCTCGCCGTTGAAACGCCCGTTGAAAGGGATATTTTTACGTAAAATCTAGTTAGAATTCGAAAGGGATATTTTTCAATGTCTTCGTCCGCGATAAAAACGTCGAAATATTTATTTTTCGTTCGATTCGACACGCGCGGCGCGTGCTTCGAATCTTAAACTCGAAGCCTTCTGCCGAAGCCATAATTGTCGATGCGTTATTCATTCGTTCGATTCGAAGCGTTGATATTAACAAGCAAACGCACAGTGGATTAAGTACGCGTCAAATATGCAACGCCTTTCAACTTTGGCAAACACCGTACCAAATCCTGAATGTTGCAAATCGTCAAACAAACGTCGCTGCATGTTTCTTTTCCACTTTTCAATGTTCGTTGCCGCGTCGCAAGAAAATCACGTTCCCACAACTTTGAATGAAAATTGAAAAGACTTTTTCCACGACAGTCGACAGACTTTATCCGAATCTCGAACAGAGTGAAACAACAAGATGGATATATATATATATATATATATATATATATATATATATATAGAGAGAGAGAGAGAGAGAGAGAGAGATGCATTTACAATGTAGGCGCTGCTATTAAAATTTGTAAAATTGCCAATAGCTTACGTGACAGCCCGAGCTTCTTCGCATCGACAACCGCCTTGAAACGTTCTGTCCTTTAAAGCTATTTTAAATAAACAATTCTATATCCGTCTAGCTCGTTTCCCGCTAAATATTACATCTTCTCTTCCGGAGAAGGTGTTACGTATTACGCGTGTCGAACATTCGAGCTCGAAAAACGAAGCTGGCTGATACCAACGAAAGAAAAAATACTAAAAAATACTAAAAGTCATTGGAAGAAGCTTGGAAATTGAAAGTTGTTCGCGTCGAGCCTCGGTTCGTTCCTGTCGTTCGGGCTTTCGTGTCTTGGCTGGTTCGTTAGCCATCGGAGGACGGATTAAAGGCGAGGAGAAGACCGACCGGAAACGAGATAACCGAAATTGCACGCGCGCCAAGAAGTCACCAAGGGGGGGAGGAGGTGTCTGGGACGAGTGACTTTGCGTAGAAAGGAAAATGTGCTCGGATCACCACGCATCCGGGCTCGATCTACTTGCCAAAGTCCCCACCATTGTGGAGATTGGTTCATTCATGCCTCGCGCCGCAACACTTTATCGAGTCACTGTCGACCGACGCCAATGCCGACACTAAGAATACGAAAATGGAACACTAGAATATGAAAATTTAGCGTCTCCGATCCTAGGGAAAAAAAATCTTCTTTCGCTCGAGAGACCCAAAGGTTTAACCAACAACTCGAGTTGAAGAGATGCTTAGAATAGCAGATACACATAACGCTTGGCGTGTAATTACCTCGTTTAACGCAATACCCGTAATAATTACTAGTTCCAAGATATCCCTCTCGAAAGAGGAGTATCGTTTATACGAAGTAAATAATTAATCGCTCGACAAACGATGGATCTCGCGTTTGACTCGCGTTTCCTTTTCGCGTGGTTTGCGTGGATCTGATCTAAACTGCCGCCAGACGACGATTATCGAAGCAGCAAAGTGACTATTTCCAGCAATCGATAGCGGATGTAATCTGTAGTTTGGCGCGTTAAAAGTCCGTCAACGGACGCCGATATTCCCGATCTGAGAAAACGAGAGAGAGAGAAACGATGGAGGAAAATTCATCTAGGATTCTCGCTTAGGTCTCGAGACCTGCAGCGCCAAAGACAGCGGGATGGAGAGGCAAAAAAAGAAAGAGAGAAACAAAGAAGAAACTGCTCGATCGAAAGCCCAACATTCCCAAAACGTTCCTCAGGATCCATTAAAGCTCTCCTCGGAGGGGAGAATCGCAGAGAGGAAATCCGAAAAAGCACGATGCGAAAGAGGGGCGAATGAGAGAGAGAGAGAGAGAGAGAGAGAGAGAGAGAGAGAGAGAGAGAGAGAGAGAGAGAGAGAGAGAGAGAGAGCGCGCNTCGGAAAGAAGGATGACAGAGAGGTGGCGGAGGGTGTGCAGCAGCGGATAGAGG